CCTTCATAGGCAATTTATTCCAGTGCTTAACCATTCTGATAGGAAGTTTTTCCTAATGTCCAACCTAAACAGCCCTTGCTGCAATTTAAGCCCATTGTTTCTTGTCCTATCTTCAGAGGTTAAGAACAACAATTTTTCTCCCTCTTCTTTGTAACCTTTTTATGTACTTGAAAACTATCATGTTCCCCCTCAGTCTTCTCTTCTCCAAACTATCTTCCCTCATAGGTCATGTATTCTAGACCTTTAATCATTTTTGTTGCGCTTCTCTGGACTTTCTCCAATTTGTCCACATCTTTCCTGAAATGTGGCACCCAGTACTGGTCAAAATACTGAGGCCTAATGAGTGTGGATTAGAGCAGAAGAATTATTTATCGTGCCTTGCTTACAATACTCCTGTTAATACATCCCAGAATTATTTTTTTGCAACAGTGTTACACTGTTGACTCATATTTAGCTTGTGATCCACTATGACACCCAGATCTTTCTGCAGTACTCCTTCCTAGGCAGTCATTTCCCATTTTGTATGTGTGCAACTGATTGTTCCTTCCTAAATGGAGTACTTTGCATTTGTCCTTATTGAATTTCATCCTGTTTACTTCAGACCATTTCTCCAGTTTGTCCAGATCATTTTGAATTTTAATCCTATCCTCCAAAGCACTTGCAACCCCTCCCAGCTTGGTATTGTCCACAAACTTTATAAATGTACTCTCTATGCCATTATCTAAATCCTTGATGAAGATATTGAACAGAACCGATCTCTGCGGGACCCCACTCATTATGCCCTTCCAGCATGACTGTGAACCACTGATAACTACTCTCTGGGAATGATTTTCCAACCAGTTATGCACCCACCTTCATAGAGGCTCCATCTAGGTTGTATTTCCTAATTTTGTTTATGAGAAGGTCATGCGAGACAGTATCAAAAGCCTTACTAAAGTCAAGATCTACCACATCTACCGATTTCCCCCTCTATCCACAAGGCTTGTTACCCTGGTAAAGAAAGCTATCAGGTTGGTTTGACAGAGTTTGTTTTTGACAAATCCATGCTGTTACTTATCACCTTAGTTTTGTCTTCTAGGTGTTTGCAAATTGATTTAATTATTTGCTCCATTATCTTTCTGAGTACAGAAGTTAAGATGACTGGTCTGTAATTCCCTAGGTTGTCCTTATTTCCCTTTTTATAGATGGGCAAATATAGGGCCCTTTTCCAGTTTTCTGGAATGTCTCCCATCTTCCGTGACTCTTCAAAGATAATTGCTAATGGCTCAGATATCTCCTCCATCAGCTCCTTGAGTATTCTAGGATGCATATCATCAGGCCCTGGTGATTTGAAGACCTCTAACTTGTCGAAGTAATTTTTAACTTGTTCTTTCCATATTTTAGACACTGATCCTACCTCATTTTCACTAGCATTCACTATTTTAATGTCCGATCGCCACCAACCTTCTTGGATTTGTATAGAGGCAATATGATATTTTCTGTCTTATTATCTGTCCCTTTCTTAATGATTCCCAACACTCTGTTCACTTTTTTGACAGCTGCTGTACATTGAGTGGATGTTTTCAGAGAACTATCCACAATGACTCCACGATCTTTCCTGAGTGGTAACAGCTAATTTAGACCCCATCATTTTATGTGTGTGGTTGGGATTGTCTTCCAATGTGCATATTAGCTCAGACTATCCAAATGGGTTTTGGGTTGCATTAATCACTGTTATCAGGGGCGCAAACTGTTGCCTGTGTCCGGAATCCTTATGCACTCCACAATTTTTACCGTGGTGGCATTCCTTAAAAATGGCCCTATTTTGGAAATCTGTGGAAGTGCGACTTGGGCCTTTGTTCACACTTTCACAGAACAGTATGCAATCACTGGAGATTTGGCCTTTGATGCCATCTTGGACTCCACAGTACTCTGTAGTAACAGACTCCACTTCAAAGTCCCAGCCCTCCATGGGAGATACTGCTGTGAAGTCACCTACAGTGGAACACACATAGAGGGACACCTCTTGAACAGTCAAACACTAGTTTTGCCTTAAATTGTAGTACACCTCTACCTTGATATAACGCAACATGAATTCAGATATAATGCAGTAAAGCAGCGCTCGGGGCCGGGGGGGAGGGGTGCTACGCATACTGGTGGATCAAAGCAAGTTCGATATAAGGTGGTTTCACCTAAAACGCAGTAAGATTTTTTTTTTTTTGGCTCCTAAGGACAGCGTTATATCGAGGTAGAGGTGTGCTAGGCTCACTTCCATTGCGGTCATTTCTTATTTTCCATCTTTTTAACTCCTGTTATAATTTGTCCTCTCTTTTGTCCATCAGTCCCTGAAAAGATTCCAGAACTACACCAAATTTAATAAAACGAAGATTTGAGCTAGTCTTCCCAGTGTTGTTTTGTTGTAACTGCTGCCTGCGGTCTGAAGATTGGGTTCATGGGCTCCTCCCTAGGACACCGGCTAGCTGTCAAGTCCAGGATATTCCTGGAGTGTTTAAAACGTTATTGCATTGTGCATAGTATCTATGTAAACAGTACTCTGGTGTTCCGTATTGGTGTCACTGATTCCAAACCAAATGTGCTGAGGTTAAAAGTAAATTTTTAATTGCCAAACATACAAACTCAACCTGATCTGATAGACATCTCCACTGTCTTTCTGGTTCACATCACTTGTAGTGAGGTTTCTACAGCTAAGAACTTTGTAAATAATTCTGTTGATGCTAATCAGGGGATCCATCTCCCTCTCCTGTAGTTGTTTTAGCCCTGCAGGCCTCTCGAAAGTACAATTCTCAGATAAGCTAGATGTATAAGGGCAGGTATGCCAGATAAGGTAGTTTTTTTTTTTCCCCTAAGGCACTTTTCTGACCATATAGTTTTAAAATGAATCAAGCTGGAGCCCCCCCGCATGAATCAAGGCCCCAGGATTTGTTTCCATACACCAGATTAAAATGCAGAATTGCATATTAGTTGTCCATCTCGAAGATGGCCTGAGATACCAGCAGTATTGTTTTCCATAACCTTACTAAACAGGATTAACTAAATTAGTTTTACATTTCATTTCTGAGTATCCTTTTGGGGGAAAGGGTGAAGTTGTAACTGCTTCATTGTAGTACAGTGTACTCCTGAGAGAATTCTGTGCCAAAAAAATAAAAATTCTGCACACAGTATTTTAAAATGCTGTACATTTTATTTGTCAATAAATAAATGTGAAGGCTCCAACATGGCATTGGGGAGCACAGGCTACTGACAGCATGGAGATGGGAGATCACCCTGCAGCCCTGTCCCCTCCTCACTAGGACATGGACTTGGTGGTGAGCCTGCACCGCCCCAGAAACACTCCGGGTTCCTGCCCCTCCATGCCAGGTGCGGTAGGGGTAGGCAGGAAGACTCAGCCCAGCTGGATGCAAGTGTGAGGGGATCCAGGTGTGGAGAACTCTGGGTGTAGGTGTCTTGGTGGGGTTTCTAGGTGTCGGGGGATCTGGATGCAGATCTGGGGTGGAGTTTGTCAGAGTGGGGCTTTGAGTGTAGGGGCAGTTTGGATGCAGGGGGTGAGGGTCCAGATGCTGAGTGGGCTTGGGTGTAGGGGGGGCTCCAGCTGCAGAATGTGAGGCTCATTGGGGTGGGGGTGCAGGGGGCTCTGTGGGGGGAAATGGATTGGGGAGGTGTCCTGGATGCATGGGGGTTGGGCGGATGGGGGAGCAGCTCCCTATACAGTGATGCTTCCCCTCTTGGACTGAGAAGCGGGGGAAGTGGGAGGTGTGGGGGTCTGACCCAGCCCTGGCTGCTCCTTGCAGGGGAAGAGGAAGTCCCATTCTCCCAAGCCAGGATTAACAGCTGAGCCTGGCACAGGGTAGGAGCCACTTGCTGGAGCAGCCCGGCCGCCCCCAGATTTACCTCTCAGCTGGCTGCTCTGGGCACGCAGAACAACACACCCGCGCTGCGCGGGGAAGTGGAACATGACGACTTTTGCGGATTCCCGTTGCTTCCCCCTCAGTCATTTTTCATCAGGGAAGCAAAGAAATCTGCGGGGACATGAATTCTGCGCATGTGCGGTGGTGCAGAATTCCCCCAGGAATAGTACAGTGGTCTTCAAGCCATCTGAAGTCCTAGTTATCTTACTAACTTTTGGAAACACAGCCATGATTTGTGGTGGTTTGGGTTATTTTTAACCCCTTGATAGAAATATAGCTTTTTGTGCTTTACTTAGGACCCCAAATATAGGAAAATGCTGATCTTTGAAACAATAGGTTCTTTTCATTTGGTTATTGCAACTTCTGTACAATTGTTCGCAGAACTGTTGTTAAAATCTACAAAGCTTTTATTTCAAAGCAAAGTAGCATATCTTTCTAGTAAGCTCACAGCTTTTTCCTAATCAGTGTGACCTCTTCAACCAGAGATTTTGAGGAATATCCACAATGTTTATGTAAAAATGGTAGCTAGACAATTTTTATAAGCTCCAGTCTGGGATCTGGACAGTTAATCTTTAAAATCTCAAAGGGTTCTAACAGAACTAGTTTTAAGCAGGATTAAATGAGTTCAGCCTATTAAGCAAGTAAAACTGATGGAATGATCCAGTCAGCAACTGGTAGTTCTCAGCCATGTGCACATTTTTATGTGAAATTACTTGGCCTTATGTCACATATCCCCATATTAATACTTTGCGTATATTTAATAAAAGTTTTAGTTATTCAGGGGTCTTCTTGAACCAAATTGTCACTCAATTGAATTGTTGCACCTTGTTCAGAAAAAAACTTTTAACGGTCAATACGGACTTTGTTATTAAACACGACAAATGAATTGAAACTTGGCTATGAATATATTTAGAAATACATATATTTGCATGTTTCTTACATAAGCGATTTATTTTGAAGTCTATCACTATTAATCTCAACATAGCAAACACAACAAATGAGTTTTAAAACATGCAGTTATAGCTCTTATACAATTTCAAAGCTTCTTAAATAACTGCTTTTCACTGATCTTATCTCCATTCTATTTATCTTTAGCTCTTCTGAAATAGAGATGTGAAAGACCGTATATAAAGTTAGACTGGCACAAAGTCAAGTATTTTTTCCATCCTGGATTTAATATGCATAAAATGGGTATGCATTTGTATTTTATAAATTCAAAACAAAACTGTGAACTGAAAATATAAGAACAGCCTAACAAATCTCAATGCTAGCATGTTTCCAATAGACTCAAGGCTTCCTTGCAGATAAGGCATCTACAAATAAGGGCTTGTCTACACTTAAAATGCTGCAGTAGCACTGCTGTAGCACTTCAGTGAGGATGCTACCTATGCCGATGGGAGGGATTCTTCTGTCAGTGTAGATACTCCACCTCCCCAAGAGGCAGTTGCCAGGATTCTCCCATTGACCTAGCATTTTCTACGCCAGTGGTTAGGTTGGTTTAACTGCATTGCTCAGGATTATAGATTTTTCATGCCCATGAGCAACATAGTTATACCAAGCTAATTTTCTCCTTTAGACCAGGCCTCAGCAAGAAGCATACTGTTGAAAGCCTTGGTATACACATCTGTCTCCAAACATAAGGAATAACACAGAAGTTGCTGCTATTAAGACGATAAAGAACATCCAGTGCTGATGGCACTCAGGACGTTGAACTATGCTTCCACACACAAGGTGGATGAGGTAATATATTTTATTGGACCAACTTCTGTTGATGAAAGAGACATACTTTCAAGGCGCACACAGCTCTGCACAGATCAAAAGCTTGTCTTTTTCACCAACAGAAGTTGGCCCAATAAAAGAGATTACCTCACCCAACTTGTCTCTAATATCCTGGGACCAACATGGCTACAACAATACTACAAACAAGCTTTCACCCACCCATGTTTTGGGTTTATGGTTTGAGTATTTTTAATCATTTGTATAATCCAGAGCAGTACATTTTGAATCCCTGTTGGGAAAACTCAAATAAATGTGTCCAGCCTGAGACCCTTACCAAGAACAGGACTTTCATATGAACCATTTCAGCCATTTGAATAGTAGTAAGGGTAGTGCCTTTCCAGTAGAAAATGACAGTTGACTCATCTCAAAGTTTAGCATCAGTTTAAGGCAGTTTTATTCTATTTTACTCCAAGAATTAGTAAAATTGTGTATCTTGGTGCAGGACTCACGATCTCTTGATCCAAGGTAAGTGAAGGGAGCAGAGCAGAAAGCTTCATTTAACAAGTGTCTTATCATTTGCAGCACACCAAAAATGGAAGGTCCTTTGTAAATTTAAATAGAACCGTTGGGGAATGATGTGTGCTGTTTATCAACTGGTTTATTTTACCATTTTTTTCCTGTTGTGCAGTTTGTTGCATAATTTAAGGACCCGGATCTAAGGCTTGGCGGCCTGTCCCTTGTGTTTCTTGGTTTATGACTGTCGGCTTTGCGGAATACGGCTGAGATGAAAGGATTTCTTGAGGATGCAAACTACTCCATTGGCCTGCTGGATGAAGGAGCAACTCTTGGAGATGTTATTGACAACTATGTTTATGAACATACACTTGTAAGTATTCGATACCCAAGCCCTTCTAGTTTAACTGAATTAATTTTCATTTATAATTTGCTGGTATTTAAATTCTTCAATTCCTAGTCTCAAATTAAGTCTGACTAGCAAGTGTATTGTAGGCAAGATGGCAATGACACATACAGCTAAGGTTGCCTAACATTTTTAATTATAAACCCCTTTCCAATTGCTTAACTTTGCCAAATTTTAACCATTTGGGCTGAAATTTTTCCATGTTTGCTCTCTGCCTTGCTGAATTTTGTTGGCAATGTTTGAGCAAAAACTGGTCAGCCACTTCCAAAAATGAGGTTGTGGGGGAAATATCTTTGCCAATGTTAAACAAATAAAATTATCCTGCTGCTCTTATGAAGAGCTTTAGCATCTATGGGATTTGGAGCAGCGACCTGAAGTTTGGCCAGTAGATAGTACTGGGTTAGAGAAGTGTCTTTTTACTGCCCCCATGAAAATTTGCCCAGAGTTGGCTGATTCATAAGCCTCTGAAAGGAATCATTTGCACATGTGCAGAGATTGTTTGGGTCTTCCTGTTAAAAATTTCTATATTCCATCTGCACTGAGTACCCCCACTAGTTCCACAGAGCTCTTCTCTGCATATGCTAAGTGCACTGTTTATGCTCCCAGTTCCCAATGAGCCTCCTACGTGCTAGGAACAGAGGGGGTGGGAGAACAACAGCAGCTACTCTTTCAGCCTAGAGGAAGGTACGCTGCATTGGGAGCCAGGAGGAGACCATGAGTTCTAGGCTTGGATCTTTTACTGACTGGTTTTATTAATTCTGTGATGTCAGACTTTTTTTTTATTGAGCAAGGTCTCTCACCCCTATCTTAAGAAGCAGGCAAACAGCATAAAGGGGTAATGGAAGGGTTGCACAAGGCCATCTGTGGCAGAGCTCAGAATAGAACCCCTGTTCTTTAATATGCCATACCTAAGCGTTAACCAGGTTGCACAGGTGACCTGGCATTTCCTAACTTTTGAGTGCTTGACTTTAGAACCTTAATGTACTTTTAGTATAGACTCTTGTATAGAATTGTAATTATAATCTTGATGCCTCAGATAGATGGGGGAAAGAACCCTCAAATCATGTCAAACCAACCTAATACCCTGTCAGAGAAGGGTAACAGGGTTTGTGGAGGGGGGAAGCAGTAAATGTCATATCTCGACTTCAGTAAGACTTTTGATACTATCTCACATGATCTCTTCGTAAGCAAACTAGGGAAATATAGCCTAGTGACGAACCTACTATAAGATGGGTGCACAACTGGTTGGAAAATCATACTCTGAGAGTAGCTATCAATGGTTCATACTGAAGCTGGAAAGGCATACCAAGTGGGGGTGCAGGAGGGATCTGTCTTGGGTTCAGTTCTAGTCAATATCTTCATAAATTTGCCTAGTGGCATAGAGAGTACACTTACAAAGTTTGCAGATGATACCAAGCTGGGAGGGGTTGCAAGCACTTTGGAGGATAGGATTAGAATTCAAAATGATCTTGACAAATTGAAGACTGGTCTGAAAAAATAGGATGAAATTCAGTAAGGACAAGTGCAAAGTACTACACTTAGGAAGGAATAATCAATTGCACAAATACAAAATGGGAAATGACTGCCTAGGAAGGAGTACTGCAGAATAAGATCTGGGGGTTATAGTAGATCACAAACTAAATATGAGTCCACATTGTAATACTGTTACAAAAAAAAGTGAACATCACTCTCGGACATAGTAGCAGGAGTGTTGTAAGCAAGACATGAGAAGTAATTCTTCCACTTTGCTCAGCACTATGGTCTCAGTTGGAGTACACTGCTCAGCACTAAGTTGCTCAGCAAAGGCCTCCACAGGAAAGATGTGGATAAATTGGAGAAAGTCCAGAGGAGAGCGACAAAAATGATTAAAGGTCTAGAAAACTTGACCTACAAGAAAAGGTTGAAAAAATAGGGTTTGTTTAGTCAAGAGAAGACTGAGGCGGGGGGGGGGGGGGACATAAAAGTTTTCAAGTATGTAAAAGGTTGTTACAAAGAAGAGGGTGATAAATTGTTCTCCTTATCCACAGAAGGCAGGTCAAGAAGTAATGGGTTTAAATTGCAGAAAGGCAGAGGTATATTAGACATCACTAGATGTTTTTACGATCAGGATAGACAAAGACCTGCCAGGGATGGTCATGATTAAGGCTACGATTTAGTCTCGGGTGTTTTTAGTAAAAGTTATGGACAGGTCACAGGCAATAAACAAAAATTCACGGCCCATGACTTTTATTAAAAATACCTGTGATTAAACCTTGGAGGGTGTGGGGGGGGGCATCTGGGTGGGTGGCTGGGAGGAGGGGAGGGATGCTGCTGGGGGGGAAACATCCAGGTGGTGGCTGAGGCGGGGCACCCGGGGTCAGTGGCTCTGGCCGGCCGGGGACCGCTCCCGGGGCCAGCCGACTGCAGTGGCTGGTGTGGCTGTCCTGGAGGCCACCTGAGTAGCTGTCCCCGGAGCCAGCTGCTTCGGTGCCTCTGGGGTCAGCCACACTGGCCCCTGCAGAAGTCACGAAAGTCACGGAATCCGTGACTTCCACGACCTCCATGACAGACACGGAGCCCTAGTCATAACAAATACTTAATCCTGCCTCAGTGCAGGGGACCGGACTAGATGACCTATCGATGTGCCTTCCAGTCCTACATTTCTGTGATGCTATGGCCCTGCCCCCGCTCAGGAAAGTTAAGGACTTCTTAAAAAAAAAAAAAAGAAAAGAAAGTGCTTGTAATGGAAATATTTTTTTTACCTTAAATATAGTTCTTGCAAAAGCCATAATACTAGGCATTTAAGGTAGGGCCTTTCATCCAAAGAATTTTAAAGTATTCTGTAAATAATTTTAACAACTTCTTTGAAGGAGTAGGTATTGCCTTCATTTTAAAATTGGGTAAATTTTGGCACAGAAGTCAAATGAATTGTCCAAGGTCATACATTAAGCCAGTGGCAGAATAAAAAATATATAATCTATGCTTCCCAGTCATTCTTTGACCTAATAAACATGAGATATTTGTGCTTCATAGGATATTTTTGCTTTGACTTCAGGTCCACCATTATAGATACGTGATTTTTATTTTTCTACTGTCCTTTGTTTATAGACTGGAAAAAATGCATTTTTTGTTGGTGATCTTGGAAAGCTTCTGAAGAAACACAATCAATGGCAGAATGTGATGGCACCAGTAAAACCATTTTACGCTGTAAAATGCAATTCCACTCCAGGTGTACTTGAGATTCTGGCAGCTCTTGGAATTGGGTTTGCATGTTCTAGTAAAGTGAGTGTTCTGTATATCCTGTTTGCCTGTCAAATTACCCTCTCTCTATCCTGGAGTCTGTTAAATCTGTCCTATGTAAAACTTCTGCTCTTGGTGTTAGTTACCATGCGGACACATTCTTTGTCTTAAACTGTAAACCCTTTATTATGACTCAGTATAGCAATTCCATTTTGTACTATTGAAGCAGCTTATAATACACAGTTTAGCTAGAAGAAAACCTTATTTGAGCTATACAGACGCTCCCTGACTTACGCAAGCGTTCTGTTCTGGAACGCCTTGCGTAACTCGAATTTTGCATAAGTTGGAAATGTATACCCGACCATTACACAAAAAAGAAAAAAAAAACCTTCCTATTTCTAGCTTACGGAACTTTTTCCATAAGTGCGGATTTGCGTTAGGTTTGCATGACCCGGGGGATGTCTGTAATCCCCACATAAATTGAAGATAAATTCACTACTGAAACTCATTTGACATGTATCTAACACTTTAATACTGTCTTGTTTTTCAGTCTGAAATGGCATTGGTACAAGACTTGGGCATTGCTCCTGAAAACATTATATATACAAATCCTTGCAAGCAAGCTTCTCAGATAAAATATGCAGCGAAAACTGGGGTAAACATCCTGACTTGTGACAATGAAAGTGAATTAAAGAAAATTGCACGTAACCATCCAAGTGCTAAGTAAGTGTTGCATTGAAAAGAGAGAAATCTTAGTTTCTCTTATTGCTGTGGGAATTTAACTTTGACTGTGGTATGGGTTGTCTGTTTACCTGGAAGGAAGAGAAGCATGTGCGTTTTTTAATGCAGTTTACTTGCATGTATTTTGTCCAACCTTGGCTCTGGTGTAACAGTGTTTCTCTAAAGATATTTTGTTGCAGGATTTTCTCTTCTGGGTCTCAGCTTCCTAGCATAACAGGTGGAACTCTCCATGCTCAGAAAAACCTGAGGGGAACTTTGGCTTTGGGGGCCGAACTTTCACGTCAGTATTCTGGCAGTTTAATTTCAGTACATTGGCGCCTGCCTTGGGGCCTCAGCTCCTCTTCATCTACCAGTAGTCTTACTTTGCATGGCTTCAGTGTTTTATTTCAGGATGTCATCCATTTACTTGACTCCCAATGGCTTCAATTGTCAACAAATGAGCACATACATTGAATCTTCAGCCTGGGATTTGGGTGTATTGTGTAGTGGTGTCAGATACACCTGCAGATGTCACCAGCGAATTAAGAGTAATGGGTATTGCCTTCAGTCCCTTCTTGAGATACCCCAGCCATGGCTTAGAGTACTTCCAAAGAGAAATCACTCAATCATAAACCTGCGTCTGCTTCCGCTGCTGAGTGCTGGAGTTCTGTTGGTGCCACCCACATTGGTATAGATTCCACTTCCCTCTAGACCCAATGCGAGAGAGCTTCCTCAGAGCATCTTGTATCATCCCCATTCATAGCTGGGGGCTTGACTATGGTCTGAGCCTCCTGTGGAAGAAGAGTTTTTCTCCAACACTCCCAAGTTACTGGGAGTCAGTACTTGAAGTGAATAGTATTGTGCTTCATGTTGGTTAACAAGGCGTTGCTTCCACGTAAATTTCAACAGGAAACACCAAGAAACAAGGTGCCCTGACATATCACTACCAAAGCGCCTGACTCTGTTCAGGTTCACATCTTGGAGATGGATCTGGGGAGATTCTGGGATGGTACTGTTTGGGATCTTGCAAAGTCCTTCCTGGTTATCTCTCAGGCTGTCTCAAAGGCTACAGTACTACCTTCAGTGCTTCTCTCCCACCCTGCATTGAGACCTGGTGGCGGCTCACAAAATCAGAGCACCATCTGCACCGAGACTACACCCACACTAAGTTGGTTTGGTTGGTGCATGAAGCATTGGCTTTGACATAGGTACCTCATGCAATTGAAGGGTCTTAATGAAAGTAGTGTAGATGACTTCTGTGCCACTGTTTATGCTTCATTAGCTTGTTAGATAGATCACTGTAGTGGGAGCAGGGTGGTGATCAGGATGACATGGCTTCTATTTGGAATCAGATAAGCTGACCACCAACTAATTGCAAAAACATCTCCATTGCAGAGCAGCAGCACATTAGCAAGACTGTGGGAGGATCTGGCTTCCTCCAGTTTCTTGAAAAACTGGCTAAGTTGGCTAGTTTGAGCTAGTGCCAGTTCAGGAATCTTCAAAGGCTATAATCAAGACTTTCACCTCCATCCAGTAGGGTTGTGGTGCCATTGCACCCTCTTTGGGTCCAGCTGGTGAAGAAGCAACAGGCTGCCCAGACTGCCCTGTCAGACAGTCAAGAAGTGTATTTCAGCTAAGTTTCCCCTCTCTGCCCTGCCCCATCCCCTCATGAGCTTGTGGTTGAGGTGGCCATGGCTGGAGCAAAGACTGTTCATTGTGATCCTGAGCTTCAGTGCTAAGGTTCTTTTGGACAAAGGTTTACTAGTCCACAGTTGGATCCTTTTGCATTATGAAATATCAGTTTTTCACAGTCAAAGGACAGACTGGCTTTTGAAAAAGGCCTCTGCCCTGGTTCAGTCAATTTCTTATGAGAAAATCCTAGGAGTCTTTAAGGTAAATAAATAATCTTAGTGCAGGAGGTCATGGACCTGGGCTGGCATCTGGTGCGGACAGCCTTTGATGTGGGTGATAGTAGCTAGCATGTGTATGTGAAAGCCTTTGTAAACTAAAAGGCCATGTTAAAGAATCATTCAATCAGAGTCAAAGTGGCTTGTGCTGTCTTCCTCATGGATGTTTCTAGCTGTCTATAAGACTGCTACATGATACTTGCTCCATGCATTTACAAAACAGTTGCTTAGATTCAGCTTATAGGAAGAAATCCCATTTTGGAGTATAAATCCTGTAGAAATTGTGAGTCCAAATTCTCTTACCACATAGTTTTATTTCTTTCTGGATTTCACCTGAGTTGGCTAAACTTTTAAAGTCCTTGTGTTTGTCCTACAGACTGTCCTACAGTCTGAAGTGATAAGCCTGGTTTTCCTTTTGGGAGGTATCTTATACCTGCTTTATGTACTTCAAAAATAATTCCATATTTTTTGCATTGACTTGCTGCCTGTTCCAGTCATGTGACTCTCTGGAGAGAATCCTGCACAGAAAATTGTAATTCTTCTCTGAAGATTTTCATCCATCTCCATCGATGTTTGGAGAGGAACCTTTTTGAAGTGTTGGTTTCTCAGATTTTGATGCTTTTACTATTCAGCCTTCTGAGGCATTCTTTTTTTCTAATCGTTTTTGTTTTGTGATTGGCTAATTTTTCTTTGCGGAGCCTTCACATTTTGCTGAAATCTGGAATTGGCTGAAAGAATCCAAGGGCAGTAATTATGCTCAGGGTGTCATGTGACCTCCAGTAGGGAAAGAATGGATCATGCTCCTACCCACTACCATTGTCTTTAAGGGCCAAAAAGCACCAAGATCTTAGACTTCCTCCAGCCTCACTTTAGCCAGCTGAGACCCAGGTGTGAGAATCCTGCAAGATATTTTGAGAAGAGCAAAATTACGAGGTAAAGTAGTTTTTCTTTTAACTTGTACAGTTGTTTTTGCTAGAAAATCTTTACTGATGCTTTATAATGCTCTCATGAAAACTTGTCAGTTCAGTATGGCATATGTAGTCTTGGTTAACAAATGTTTTCAGACTAACCTTGGTGCTACGTAAGCTGTAATGTGCAGAAATAGATATATTTTTGGTGTTTTCATATGATGAATTCAAAGGATTTGATTTTGTCAAATAACTAGGCCCAATATATAGGTTTGTCCAAATGTTATTACAGAACATTGTATAACTAAAATTGTTTAATTTTGATCAGATGATTTTTTTTAAAATCATTTACGTGTTTGTGCTGGTGAAAGAGAACCAGGAAATGAAACTGGCCAGTCTACTTTATCCAAAATGAGTGAAATGCCAGCAGTAACAAATGGCATAAATGACGAGCAAGGATGCTGAAGGGCACACGTGGAAGAAATGGAAGTTAGATTTCCCTCCTCAGGCATACCCCTTTAAACTGTCTTTCGTAAATGTTTGCAATTTGAGGATTCTATTAAATTTTTGGCAGTTGCTAGATTATCACATCACTGGTAGTAGCCAACAGTGTGCTTATCTTTGCTTGGCAAGGAGACTGTGATCTTTCCTTTCAGATGCAGAACTTGCCAGTTATCCATGCCTTTTTCATCTCCAGATTGGATTACTGCAGTTCACTCTGCATGGGGTGCTTGGACTTCACCAGCCAACCTTCAGCTAGTGCAAAATGCGGCTTTTTATGTTTGATGGTGTTTCTCACTTGGGATTGAAAATGGAGTCATTGACCCTTTTAGCTGACGTTGAGTGAGTTTGTATTAATATAATCTTGTGTTTGTACACTCTGGTTTTGATAGGCATGTCTTATCAAATTACCACTCCATAGTAATTAAAGCATAACAAGACTGATTAAATATCAATTAATGAGACTCAGCTCACGAAGCCACAAGAAATTAGCCACCCCCTGCTCTAGCCAAAGACTGAGTTAATAGGTCTTCTAGCTATGATATGTGAGACCCATTGGAGGAGGAGAAATGGCACTCCGACAGCAGCCTCTTTCTCGCAGGCAACGAGGAAGTAATGGGGGAGGGAATGGAACACCCCTTGCACCCAGTCCAACTGCCAGTGGAGTAGGGGGGTTGGGAGGGGTCTCTACATGTATCAGACTTCTACCAGACAAGGCTGATGTAGAAAGATAAACACAGCAGGCTCCAAAGGGAATCCCAGGGCACTCTTCCTCCTGCCAGCCAGGAGGAAAGGGCTGGAGAGAAGCAATCCCATTGTCACTAAAGAGCAGTTTATGAGCAAGCACTCCTTATGAGAAAGTAACCCTTTCTTTATTACAGCACCCAACAGACTCTTGCTGCTACAACAGAGTCTTAGTTGCTGCATTTCCAAATCCCTTTTCCTTGTTGGCTCCATGTTTTAGCCCCTAATTGCTAGTTTTTTCTCTGTACAGGATTGTTTTTATTAGGCTCACTTGACTCATCCATCGATGGAGCTGGAGTACTGACAACATAATCAACATACTTCTGACAGTCTTCAGGCTTCACATGTGCTGATGATGATGTAAACCAACTGTGCCCCAATCATCTTCCCCTTCTCTTAGGCTCTTACTACATATTGCCACAGAAGACATTAGTGGAGCTGAGGAGATGAACATGAAATTTGGCACCATGCTGAAGAGCTGTAGGCACCTCATGGAATGTGCTAAGGAGCTTGAAGTCCAAATAGTTGGTGTTAAGTGAGTAGCTTTTTCATTTTTTCCCCCCTTTATGTATAATATTAAATACTCAAACTTAGATTTAACTCAAATTTTTTTATTGTGCCAGTTTATTCTCCTTCCCTTATAGGGAACAATATAAAATCCAGTTGCATCATTTGAGAATTTTTGGTGACACTTATGCATTCAAATCAGTATGAAACAGAAAAGTAATTGCATTTGAGCTACAAAAAGTGTCACTGATGTTAAGGCAACGCAAAGTGGATATGTGAAATCCCTTTTGCTGTAGTCAGAAAAACTGCTAGAGCGTTTCAGCCACTGACTTCCCTACTCTTGCTCTTGTGCTTTCCAGTGATTGGCTTTTATCTGTCTAACTCTGCATAGAAAAATGAACAGTTGAACTGATAAAAGGCAGTAGGTCAGTGTGGGAAAATCAGTACAGATACTGGGTGAGATAATGCTGTAAGATTTAACTATGAAAAGTTTTTAATGATGTCCATAGTAATCACTTCAAGTTCAGAGTTCTAGTAATTTTAGTTTTTGACCTGTAGATGGCAGAGGATCTTCTTGAAGTGTTTTTAGTCTTCCTAAACTGAGTGACCTGTGGTACTTAAATCTAGAGTAAACTAGATACACAAAGATGAAAAATTCTCATATCACACTGATCAAAAATTGATGCACAAATTGTCTGTATGCTTTCAACTGCTGCAAAAACTTGTGGAACACTAATGAACATGTTTGATAGATTAAGGAAACAGTCAAAATAAGAGGAATATTCCTTTATCAGTCATGTTTGCTGCCATAGCTTTAAAGAGAGTCAAAGCACTGAACTGATGGAAGTCATTGGCTAAGCACCTGGAACCAGAGTGTGTTGAAATGCTAAACCAGCTTTTGACAGCATTAGCTGCTTCTACAAGTACAGAGATATTTTCTTCATTTCAATTTATTCAGTTCAGTTTAATGACTAATTCATTCAAATTTGAGAAACCAACTGGGAGCTGAAAAAGTAGAGAAGCTGCTTCTGCTCTTCCAATATACAAAAATGAGGTGTCTGAGGATGAGATGAACTACTTCTAAATCTTGAAGGACATGACCAGAAACAATTCAGTTCACTAACTGCAGATACGTCCTTTGTTTATAAATCTGTTTTAAATGCAAAATATGTTTTGATAAACTTTATGTATCCAGCACACTTAAGGTATTGTTAACTAATTTTAAAAAGTTTTTTGTGCATTTTTAATTGAATTCCAATTTCCATTGAAATGTAGTTTTGACAAACATCAGAAGTAAAAATATTAATCTAGTAAATCATCTAGAACTGCATCATTCACCATTTTCTAACATAATAAAATGCAAAATTCTGAATAAATATATGTAAGCTATATAATTGCTTTGAAATAATGTTTATAGATAATGTATCATCCTGTTTAGCAAAAAGAAGTACCAAATTTAACCAACCAATGAGAATCACCCTTTCTTTAGAAAAGTAACTAAAATGTATAAATGCAAAACAGGATGAAAATGGATTTAAATTGATCCGTCATGTCTGTCACAATGAAGACTTAGACTCTGGATGAGGTATCAGTAGCTTAATCGGTCTAATTTTTGTCACTTCAGTAACAGTCATATTGTGGCTGAGCTTACTTAGCACTAAGGATGAGCAGAGAATACAAATTGTCAGCACACAGGGTTAAATCAGTTTGTCTAAAACTGTTCTAACTTAATTTTAGAAATGAAAATCAGTGGGGCCACATGGCTCACAAGGGTCCAAAAAGAGGCAGAAAATATAGCTGACTCTGAGTTTGTGCCTTCATTATCTCCTTCCCTCTTTCAGATGTTTGTCCAAATAATCTGGAAAAGAACGCTTAGTCCATCCTTGTGGCAGTGCAGGATTGGGCTCTAAAATATGTTAAAATACTCTATCCATTTTAGTTCAAACTTACACTCTACTCTTTCTCCTTCCCATCATTTGGTTGTGGTGAGCTTTTTCTTCTAGCTATGGGTCATCTGTTTTATAAATAAAAAACGGTACAAAATGCAAAACAGCTTATAGAATGCTGAGTGAATACATGTTGCATATCAAAGAAGTATGCACATGTTAGAGGTTGAATGACTCAAGTGGATTGATAATGGGATACAGAGCCTTTCACCTCTAGATTGCTGCTTTGGTTCTTACCCAAGTTAGTAGTGATCAGAAGCGACCAATGGCTTTTCTGACCTTTATCTGATGCAGAGTTAGTGTTTTTTCACAAGCACCGAAGCTTTATATTGTAGGGGCGTGAAACATACAAGATGTAAAATGAATTGTAGTCTTCATCTAGTTCCCTTGGACAAGAGTCACCCTCTTAATTGGCACTTTGTTGGCAGCCTGAGCAGAGTGGTCTAGACTGTATAACCATGGAAACTGAATTACCTTCTCATCTCGTGTCCATATGGATATATTTTTATAAAGGAAATGTATACCTTCACAGTTGTATTTATATTTTTGTGTTTTGTACATAAATAAGACATCATCATTCTTCTGGGGTGTCAGAACAACAAAGTTCATAAGCACTAGGTCACTTTTAAAAAGCCCTGTGCTAGTGAGTGGGCACAAGGAACAATTTTTCTGAATAAACATGGTGTCACTATTTTAAATTTCCAGGATGAAAATGTTTATTTTCTTGTGTCTCGTGTTATCACAAGATAGTGATCTTAGATTTCGAGACCAGACTTCTGGCTTAAACTGTGCTCTATTCCTTTTATGTCTGTAGTTTTAGATATGAGAAAATGACTGGTTTGTCTGATCTATTCTTAGACTCTCGTTTCCTAGCTAATGTTTTCTGTTCACCTGTTTTGAATTACCCCATCTCATCTGTGCCATCAGTCTGTCTAGAGTCTAGTCCACAATCTGGTCTACAACGAAAATAAACATAAAGAGGATAATTGGGAATAACTGTTCCCAATTGTTATAATATCTATTGTTTTACTGTGTCCCTCTGGTCATTTGTATAGTTCTATAAACATGCATTACAAAAGTTTTAATTCTCCAAAGCCTAAAATTCTGTTTTTAAAAAAATCAAAACTGATATGGACATTGTGAGTAGGGAGGTGCTAGGACTGTTTTTGGAGTATTTTCTGTAACTGGTTCTCAGATGCTATCTCACTACTGAGCCTATTTTTCTTTATAAACCTATTTCAATAAACTATTTCTATGGACTTGCCCTTAGGCAATTTTAACTGTCATATCTTGAAAACACTGACAATCAAATTTCCTTTTTTTAAAAGATTAGAATGAAGCCATTGTTAGACATTCTTAAATTGTGCTATACAAATTTGTCTTGTGTGTGCAAATGGGCTAGAAGGAAAGCAAAGCTGTTTTGAGGTCTCTTCCTATTTCATAAATTTCTCGTAAACAAATAAAACCTTAATCACCTATGCATAAAATATACATGCATTTCTACTACTATAAATGTGTGTGTACTGTCAAAACATTACTTTGTCAAATTCCTTTGAGTGATCTGCTATACGTCCCTATTGGTCTAGATATATCAATGTTCTGTTGTTAATGCAGTTTGTAGGTTTGTGTATTTATTATATTTCATTTCTTTTAGATTTCACATTTCGAGCTCTTGCAAGGAACCTCAAGTGTACGTTCATGCTATATCTGATGCTCGGTGTGTGTTTGACATGGCTGTAAGTAAATATGCTAACATACGATTTAATAGAGGAGTCATCCTACTATATTCTCGCTAATGGAGATAAGAAAAATTCTTTCCTAAAATGTGTATTGCTAGTCTGATAAGGACCCTTCAAATAACAGAATGAGTACACACAACTGAATAGTAAATTATAGACCTTACTGAATATTTAATGTGAGACAAATAAAATCTTCCACTAAAACATCCTTTGATTGTATTTTACAATTTTAATTAAGGGCCAATGGGTGTGGGTTTTTTTTTAAGTCCAAGATCTCAACTCGAGCAGAATATATTTGTAGCTTTCTAAGTTAAGAATACATCGTAAAAGTAAACTAAAATGTTTATCTACCAAGACCAGTGAACAGGTTTTGTTTTCTCTGCATGAGATGTAATCACTACCAACTGAACAATGCATGTGGCTGCCTTCCTTATGTTGCCTTATATAATTGTCATTGGGTTTTGCGGTGGGGAGGAACAGAACTCTGAATGATCCTCTTGGCAAAAAGGAACTGACTTGTTGACACTGGTAAATTAATTTGTTGTTTTAGGCTATAAATGTATACTACTTGTGTTAAGGAAACAGATTTTTGTATTGCAAATATTTCTCTTCACTTTAAGTGAGAAAGAAAAGTTTAAGCTCGACTTCAGAAAAATCCAAGATCATGACCTTACTGTGATTATTGCAAAATTATTGATGTGATTAATTACACAAGGAAGACAGTTGAAGTTCTCACAGCAGTTTTAACTCTGCCTCCTTGTGCATTACAAGAGGGGCTTTCATTACATTATCACACCATGCAGCCATTTATATTATACATACTATTACGTGCATCTAAGGTTAAAAACGTGTAATTCTTTTCCACTAGATTGTAGTAAAGTATTTGCTGAACTGTGTATTGCGCTGTCAAGTTTTGTGAGAAAAGACTCTTCTACTGCATACTCAGAGGCCAAATTAAGGTTGCTTTACTTTAGAATTGCTTGATTTATTTATTCTCTTTACTAATATTGCAGTAATGTTTAATGTAGAATAATACTAGGTATTACCAGAGTGAATTGTTCACTGGAATACTCTTTATTGTATTTAAGATGTCACAATTTCACGTTTAAAGCATGAGCATACAATATTGAATGAGATTGGAGAGCTCATCAATAAAAACTTTAATTTCTATTGTCTGCATACTTAAAGGCCTGTCTATACTTCCTTTTAGGAAGAATTTGGCTTTAAGATGAACATGTTGGACATTGGTGGGGGCTTCACAGGTTCAGAACTTCAGCTGGAAGAGGTATGCAACTCAGTGGAAGTTAGAACTAGTTTGCCTTTCATTTGTCAGTTTCAAGTTTTTGACATGTCAGTTTCCAGCTAATATTGATAGTTAAAACCTGGATTGACAGTAGATTTAAAACCATGGGGATGGACTGGATTATATGCCACAATTGCACTGTGGAGTCATTAGCAGAGAATTAGTACAGGTCCATGAAGTCCTGCTAGTCTCTCAATTCTGATTCAACTAATGTTACATAAATTAGTCACAAAATTGTCCCTCAGGTGCCAAGGATTTACAGATGAGAGAAACAGTAACCATTCTAAATTGACAGCAAACCAAAGCCTCAGTTATCCTTGTAATTTTTAAAATTTGCATGCTTCTTACCATGAAGATTTTAGCCCTTTCTTCTGGAGGCAGTTCTTTTTACTGTGTTCATAGTGGATGAATACTGACCTGCTGCTGCAGCTGGAATTTTCAGTATTTTGGTTTAGAACTGAAGACATAATGCATCAGCTGGACATTTGCTTTAATGAGCCTTAAGATTTTTACTCTTAGAGCAGATCTACACTGAAAAGTTACAGTGGCATAGCTACATTTTTTTAGGGATGTTAAAAATCCACGCCCCTGAGAGACGCAGTTAAGCCAGCCTAAAGCCTAGTGAGGACAGTGCTAGGTCAACAGAGAAATTCTTCCATTGACCTAGCTCCACCTCTCAGGGAGGTGAGTTACCTACAGCTGTGGCAGAACCCCTCCTGTTGCTGTAGTAAGTGTCTACATTGAAGCATTTTAAGTGTGACAGAGCCTCATTTGATCTCTGGTTTGGTGTCATGACCTGGTCACTAGTGAATAATGGTGATTTAGACTGATCACTGTATTTTGTCTACTCTTAAAGATAAACTCCCAAAGCCTAGGTTGCTGAAATGAATAGGTTCAAACAGCTAAAATCATTAATAGAACTTTGAAAATTGCCTACTTAGTCCATGTTTGCCTTATCAAGTAGTTGTGAACAAGTCATGCAAGACTATGGCATTAATATTGAAGTTAAAAATCAGATTAATGTTGGGTAAATTCAGTGAATACCATCTATTTCTTTATTTGTCAAGATGCAAAACTGTAGTTGACCAAATTGCTCTGTTTTGTTTTTGTTTTTTAAATGCAACCCTGATGCACTTCATAGATTCATAAATAATTTTACATCTGTTGTACTACAACCACTTTGAAATTACTTAAATGGGTGATTCGGTCATTTGGATGACTTGGACTTAACTGGAGACTGAAGATAATGATACTTAACTCCTTTGTAAAGTGCTTTGAGATCTACTGATGAAAAGCACTATATAAGAGCTAGCAATTATTATTAGGTGCCTAGGTATGGCATCAGTATCCCAAAAGTAACACCCATTTTATTTTTGTAAAACTTAACTGTGGTGTCTGAGACTTGATTCAGCAAAGGCCCAATATGGATAGTAAAAATCAGCTTGTGGTCAACTCACCAGCACTGTAAATTGTTGGTTGGGAATTTGTGACGGAGGACTTCTGTGTCTGATTTATCAATCGAGCCCCTTTCACAAGAACTGTAAATAAACTTCAAAATAAATCAGATGAGCAATCTAAACATTAGCTGTGACTTCAATTTCCTAGGTTAATCATGTCATCAGTCCGTTGTTGGATGTCTACTTTCCTGAAGAATCCGGTGTTAATGTGATTGCAGAGCCAGGATGTTATTATGTTTCATCTGCATTTACTCTAGCAGTTAACATCATTGCAAAGAAAGCTGTTGAATATGATAAATTTCTTCCCTCTGGAAGTAAGCAACATATTTGTTTTGTACATGTGTGAATCAGTACAAATAAGTCTCCATTTTTGTCAGCATAGCTCAATTTTATGTGTAGATCATGAATTATATGCTTTAATATTTTTTCTATTCAGTAACTGGCTCATACTTGAGTCTCAGTCTATTTTTTAAGGTTCTGTCCCTATGTTAATCTTAGGCTTGGCAGAATTAAGTGTTGATTTTTTTAAAAATAATTTTGACTGATACTACTGATGTTTGTTTTGAAGCATATTTTTTATTTATATATTTAAATTTTCACATTTGTAGGATATTATGCGGCGTGGTCAGACAATACTTACTTTGTTATAGATGTTGAGTTTCAAAAAGTCCAAATTTTTTTATAACTGTTAAAACAAATTATCAACATCACATGTCAAAATATATGAAATGAATATCGTTAATCAAACTCTAATAAATTCTCAAGCAGCGCTTTTCTTTCTTTGCCTATCTGTACACTTTATCATTGGTGGAAATATTTTTTCATCAGTTGGTGTGTGTACAGTAAAAGACATTTACTGATAAAAATCTAATCCTTCCAAGCCTGGTTAATCTGCACCTCTGTTCATTTTCTGTTTTCTGGGTTTGTTTGGCATTGCTGGTTTCCTCACTAGTAAATAGATGTGACTCATTTATGATCTCCAGGCATCCTATCAGCATATAATTAAAGCTGAATTAGGGAAAGATGGAAGAACATGAATTGGAGCTACTATTGTCCCTCTTCTACCAAAATGGAATTTTTGGATGTTTTCAGTAATGACTAGAATATTTAGTATGCAAAATGTGTCCTTAAGCATAGCCTTTAGGGGTAGGCTTGAATTGATATTGTAGTCTTCTAATTACACTTCTTATCCCAATGCATGTTTTACGTACTCTTGGGGACCGGGGGGGAATTAACTGTTAGAGGATTGCAAATTGAATGTTTATTATAAAAATATGTAACCATTTTTCTTCCAGTGGAGCAAACCAGGAGTGATGATGAGCCAATCTTTATGTACTACATGAATGATGGTGTTTATGGTTCTTTTGCAAGTAAATTGTCTGAGAAATTTAATACCATCCCAGAGGTTCACAAGGTGAGTCTATATCATATTCTTACAGAATTTACAAAGCATTATTCTTTTGCAGGGAAATTCTGCAGATCCATTACAATGGATCTTACTTCTGTTTGCAGCTTCTTTGGCGCACTACTGCCCCAATCAGACAGGCGCAAGTGGCTACAACCCTGAAGACCCAGCCACTTCTAGCCAGTTTGAACTGCCTCCAGCAGCTGCAGGAGGGCTTTACCAGATGACATGCTCAGAGCAACAACCAACCAAACAAAAAGGATTCTAAGCATTACTGGGCTTTTATTTGGCCTTGGAAAGGGTGTAGGTGGGGGGAGGAGTTGTGCTCTGCAGCAGGCTTGCTGAAACACCTTTTCTCCCCTGCCCCATTTTGATACCAGGGTTGCTGGCTGCAGAAGTTTCCATTGTAACCTTTCTGGACATGCCGCTCTGGTGGAACAGCTTCCAGGCAATTAGAGGAATAGAGAAGTTGGAGGAAAAGGGCACAAAAATGTCTGGGCTAACTGGACCCCCCCTTAGCATGGTCAGCTATGCCAGAACTGCCTGGCCAGCTGAACTCAGCTTGTTTTGCCACTCAGCCATGCACTACTTGCCTGACTAATGGGACCCTGCTCATTGCAGGTCAGCTGTGCCCCATACTGCCAGTCCTGGAGGGCTAAGTAGAGAACAGCCCAGACGTGGAGGAACAAGCAGCAGTAAAGGGCCTCTTACTTGTTTCTAATTTACTTCACCCTCTTTAACAAGGTGGGAGTCATCCCTTATGGAAGCCTGCCTTGCCCATCCTAGGATTCAGTGAGATAACATCGGTGTTAACTGTTGTGTAGCACTACAGGGCCCACTAGGGGATTTAGTGAGACAAAAGGGCTGTGCCATGTGATTATTTTCCTTGCTCCTTCCACAGGCAGGGATTTAAGGAGCTTCTATAACATTCAAGGGCTCATCTCAAAAGAATGTTATTTCTGTAGCACAGCAGGTGCGGTTCTTTCCCCTGATCCCCTCTTTGTTGATATTCTGTTACCATCGGTAAGGCTAAGATTACGTCACAGAGGTCATGGAATCTGTGACTTCCAGAGACCTCTGTGACATTTTCTGATTCAGCCAGGGGCTGGAGCTGGCAAGGGCCCCCACAGCTCCCAACCGCTGCGGGGTGGGGACAGACCCCCCGCATCTCTGAGCACCTTGGGGGCCACGGACCTGCGCTCGGTGCTGGACCCATCCCTCCCTATTTTGTCAGTTATTTTTCGTAAAAGTCAGCGACAGGTCATGAGCTTCTGTGAATTTCTGTTGATTGCCTGTGAGCAGTCTGACTTTTACTAAAAGTAACCGTGACAAAATCTTAACCATAGGCTGCTGAGGCCACTCGTCTTTTGTCCTGTAGAGCAGGGGATAGGCAATACTCAGCAGCTGGCCCCCCCTTAGAGTTAATTTCTTTTGCTTTTTCTTCCCTATAAATCTGAGAAGAACATAAAAGGCACACTATGGACTCTGGCCACAGGTGTCACTCCTCCACAGAGGAAATTTCTAAGGCTTGATTTTTCCTAGTAAAAAGGAGGAGAAAAAGGTGCAGGGACTTCCTGTATTGTGGTGACCTACAAATAGAAGGAAGAACTCAGTTTTTTTTTCTTTTGAGGAGTAATCAGAAACCATTCTCAGGAGTATTTGGTGGGGACTCTGTATGCCTCCAGATAAGTCCCTACAAAAGGAAACATGGGGAGTGTGAGGGAAGGGGAATTAGTTCATCCACAAGCAAATTTGTGATAATTTGTACTCCCAACGTTGATGCAGTCCTCATGTTAAAGAAATTGATAGTGTTTATATAAACACTATAATTTAAAAAACAAAACAACCCCCTCCCCTTTTGTGCCTCCACATCTTGGACTAGAACCAGGCATACATGGCCAGACTACCTATTGCCCATTGTGTCATTAAGAACAGAAGATCCTTCAGACCAGCAGCCTGGTTGAGAGATTTCTTTAACCCTCTCACATCAAAACAGCCTGAGATTTACAGTAAGAGCAATGAGCTAAACTTAGTCACACCACCAGCTCTGCCTGAGGCTATGGAAGTCCAATCAGGTACTGGTTACTGCTGAGTAGCACAGGGAGCACACACTTTTTGTGACTATAAACAAAGCTGTCATGGAAACCTGCTTACATAAAATAATTTTTAAAACGTCCTAATCATGTAAGGAGCCCTGATAACTCAACAGGAGAAACAGACTCTTCTTTAGGTCTTGGCACTCTTTGATCCAGCTAAGACTTATAGGAGGGATGCCTAGCTAGCAGATTGATACACAAAGTGGCACAAGAGACAGAGGTGATACAGCAAGAAAACGCGCTGCCTTTTTCAAGCAAACATGACTACAAGGTGATAATATATGATGTAGTTTCCCAAATAGAGGGCATATAGAAAGAAATTTGAAGTGGTGGATCAATGCTACATCAGAAGAATGAATCTTTAGGCAGATAGATCCAGTCCAGCTTACCAACTTCCTACCCCCCTCCCCTTTTTTTTAAGCTGACAAACACCAGAATATAAAGACTGCAGTATATTGTCTGCTTCAGAATGGGGTAATTGGGCTCCCAGAGAACAACAAGGCTTAGACTTCTACTACATCTGCTTCTAGGACCAAGTTCCAAAGAGAATGGAAGTTCTTGAATGGATTTTCTCCAAAGTCACAGGTCAGGATGGAGACCCTAAGTTCTACCACTGCACCAGCTTTTCATCATTAATTGATCTGAAGAACACCTATCTACCCATTATTATGCAACCCTCCTGGAGGAGATATTAGCATCATGTGCAACAGACTACATTACCCATATACCCCTTTATTCTTTGGCCTACCTGCCTTTCTGAGGCTGTCCTCCAAAGTGCTAGTTAACATTGTTTCTGCTAAAGCAGAAAAAGGTTCTTGTATACACGTGCTCAGATGACCTGTTCATCAGAGCACTGTTCCTGGAAAATGCCCACACAAGAGTCACCATACAGTCCAGATTCTTTCCTGTCAATATCACAAACATCTAAATGATGGCGCTATTACTTCTGGGAATAGTTATAGCTATCAACCTCCACTCCAAGCCAGTGGTCAGAAAGCACAGAGTCCTTCATTCTCCAGTCACATCTATCAGGGCTCTGATGTCTTGGATAAGAACAGAGGTCTCTCTAGGAACAACATACTGTTGAGAGACTCCACGTGGTTTTTCTCCATGAATTTCTTGAGCATGTAGGACTGTCCTTTTTGTGCCATTGCCGGGGTACTTGGAAGAAAGGGTATGTTGCAATGAGGGGATTGGTGGAGAAGCCTATATCAGTTTCAAGAGCAGGAAACCTCATTCAGGGAACAAATTTCATCCAAAGTTAATGCAAGAACAGACTTCCAACACAGTATCAAGTGGATCAAAATAATTAGGCCTTAAGAGCTGTCCTGATCAGCCAAGGTGTAGCGGTGATCCCTTACAACACTTCAGCAATAGCTTTAAACAAGGACAAAGGTACCAGATCCTCAGCCTGGATGAGCATCTAATCTTTGCTGTTCCTGGCTGCATATTTTGAAAAAAGCAAAAAAAATCTTCTGTATATTCAAGCACTACATATAGAATGAATAAATAAATATAGCACCTGGTTAAAGTAAAGGAAAAATCCAGGAGAGTGGAGGCTACAGCCTAAGGTCTTTGAGTGGAGTCAGCCCTGAGTCACCAGTGTGTTAATGGACATATCTGCAGCCAGAACCCAGCAAAGATGAGTCTCCTTTCTGATGAATAAATTAATAGGCTGAACCCATGATTATGCCCCTTTCTTCCAAGGCCAAAAGCCTGACTTTCTGTTTCTGATCACAACATTCTCCAGGACAAACAAACAAGGCAGAAGTGAGCCATGGTGACCCCCATGCTGTCATGGGAAATCCTGGGTCTCATGTATAATTCAGGTGGCAACCACCACTCAGCTATGTCTCCTCTACAAAAAGAATCTGCTCCCAAGGACAAAATTCTGTACCCAAGCCCAGAAAATCAAATCTTAACTACATTATGAGAGTTATTAATTGAAATAGGATATTCAGCTGTGTTAACACTACCTCTTTAGCCCTGAAAAAGTATTTTTACAAACAGGGCATCTTCAAGGGCCTGGTCTGTGTCGTGCTACGTTACTGGCCTGACATGAAGAGGCAA